CAGAGTGAGTAAGCGCCGTAATCTAGGCAGCGGACGGTGAGCTCAAGGCAGATAAAGCCTCGCAAAGACATACCAAGCTCTCTCCTAACGCTTGCTGCCACCATGTCTGCCCCAGAATTCCAGCCGATCCTCCTCCAGCTCCCTTCTTTCACCCCCAGCCTCGCCGTGGAGGTAAGAACGCCCCTGTCGTACGCTCTTCCTCGATCCTAATTAGCTCTGCGCAGGTCGTGCCCTACGGTGCCACCATCCACCGCCTCTTCGTCCAGGCTGATGGCCGCGTACGTCTCCCAGCCTCTCTTACTTGCGCTGTCTAACCCGCCCGCAGACGAACGACATCATCATGGGCCCAGAAAAGCCCGAGCAGCACGTTACTCAAAAGTACACCGGCACCCTCGTCGGCCGCTACGCCAACCGTGTCTCTGTCACGCCCGGCCCCGTCACTGTCTCCCGCAACGGCTTCACGAGCACCTTCACCGCCCAGGCGAACGAGCGCCCCGAGGTCTCCCTCCACGGCGGCGTCGTCGGCTTCGACTCCCTCCCCTTCACCCCGCTCGCTGATCTCAGCGAGAGCAAGCTCTTTACCCCCGAGGAGGTTGCCACGCTCCAGGCTGAGATGCCCACTGCTGTCGTCCTCACGCGCGTGAGCCCCGATGGCGAGCAGGGCTTCCCCGGCACCCTCCGCGTCGAGTTTCTCGTCGGCCTCATCCCGCCCAAGGGCCCCGCTGCCGGCGACAAGTCGCTTCTCGGCAGCCTCGTACTCATCTACCGTGCTCGTCTCGAGGAGCCCAACAAGGTCACTCCCATCAACCTGACCCAGGTACGTCTGCATTCGCTGCCTGTGAGTTTTGCTTATCTCGCTTTAGCACTGGGGCTTCAACCTCGATGCCTCCCTCGGCGAGCCCACCGTGCTCAAGCACAAGCTCCACATCAAGGTACGTAGCAGTCTCCTTGAACTTACCACCAACTGACATGTCCCGCAGGCGGACAACACCATCGCGCTCACGCCCTTTGGTCTCTCAACCGGCAAGCTTGCACCCGTCAAGGGCACCCCGCATGCGCACGACGACAAGCCCAACGGGCTCATCGGCGAGAACTACCCCGCGACCGGCTACGGTACGTACCCGTCTCTTGTTCATCACGCAGGCACTAACCCCACGCTACAGATTCGTTCTACGTCCTCTCGCGCGACGCACCCGCCATCCCTGGCCGCCTGCCCACGACCGCGACGCCCAATGTCGTGAAGAAGGTTATCGAGACCTCCATAGCGACGCCCGTCACGACGCTCGAGAGCGCGAAGAGCGGCATCAAGCTCGCGTTCGACACAAACCGTACGTCCCGAGCTCCCTTCCGTACGGCCCCCGCTGATGTGTCCCTTCTCGTAGAATCGGGCGTGCAGTTCTACTCGAACTACTACGCGGACCCCGCCAAGACGTCGCGCAAGAAGATCCACGGCGGCTCTGGCGAGTTCGGCGACGGCTACGGTCCCAACAGTGCGTGTCTTGCATCCTCTCTTCCACCCCAGAACGATTGCTGATAGCTTGATGCAGCCTGCGCCTTCCTCGAGTTCCACGAGCCGCTCGAGTCGTGGCAGCACCCCGCGACGCTCGGCGCGTCCAAGGACGACACGCTCCTCGCCTCGGGCGAGCTCTACAACAACTTTGTCAAGATGGACGTGTACTACCACACGCCTGCGCAGTAAGCGCGACGTGCCGTGTCGTATCTTGCCTCGACATCGCTGTGTTGTCCCACGACGGGGCCTAGGACAGTTGCACGTAAAATGTAAACACAATGTAAGCGATATATCTGGTGTGGGCGGAGGAGGGACACTGTTTGGAGAGAAGAGAAGCCAAGACCCCACCGTGTATTTGTAGTGTTAAATTCTAAATGTACAGTGCTTGTATACACTATGCGCGAGTGCCGTCGTCGATGTGTAGGATACATATGAAGAAGTTCTGCGAGCACGGATGAGACGGCCCGGTAGCTCCTAGCCATATGCCATGTCCGCGGCCTCAGCACGCTCAGCATGCACTCTTGCGACCTAGAAACAGGCGTCAGAAAAGTTGAACTTGAGTCGACTCCCAGTTGCGATGCAATGTGGGGTATTTCCGAGCTAGAGCGGTACAGATCTACATCTACAAGTCTTAGATGACTGCGCAGACGATGTATAGTATTTGTTGTCGAGAGCGAGATAAATCCACACATTTTGAGACCTACGATCGGTCGTAGGACGAACATCTTCGGTCCCTATTACTTCGCCTTCTCCGCCTCCCGGGTAAGATTGCGAGAGCCCGCTAGGCATCCCGGAGTTTCCAGTACCCATGACGTTGCATACGTCCTCACGCCACGAGTTTCGGGCTCCAGCTGGACTCTGTACGTGGCGGAGTGAAGCAGACAGTGCAGACTGCGCTAGCCAGTCTGGGTAGAGGAAGGAGGGCGTGGCGGGCAGCATCCGGGATGGAGCATTGCCTACGAGCTTTCACGGCGGAATTGCCTGGGGAAGCGCACCGCTGACAGCTATGCATCGTCCTGGGCGTGTGTGAGGTCAGGGCATAGTATCTGGAGTAGTATCAATAAAGAGCAAACACTCACCTCAAAGTCAGGCCCAGAGCTCGAAATGTCTCTCCTCCGCGTCAGGACCATCCATGGGCGTCGTGAACTGGATGTCATACTTCTGTCCGTTGGGCAACATGCGTTCCTTGCACGCATCTATCGCGCGTTCGGCGTCGTCGACGGTACGGAACTGGACGAGCGCGTACGTCTTCCTGCCTTTCCCGTCCCTGTCCCAGGGCATCGGCACAACATCCATCTCCCGCATCCCCTTCTGTTCCCTCAAGCGCACCTGGATCGGCTCGAACTCTTCAAAGAATTCGTCGATTGCGCGCCCCGTACTTGAGTTGAGTGGGCCGATGTTGCCCACGAAAAGCGTGTCCGTCGGGGTCCGCCCATGCTCCTGGCGTGCGCCGTGCTTGGGGAGCGACACGCGCATCGGACGTCCGTGCTTCTGGCCCGGGAACGTGACGCCGTCCATCACACGCTGCGCAACCTCTGCCTCCTCTTTCGAGCTGAAGTCGAGATGTGCGAACGCGATCGCGGCGCCGCGGCCGGGCCTCGTGGCGATGCGCACGGCGGTGGGCGCACACCCGCACTCAACGAAGAAGGCCTTGACCTCGAAAGGAGAGACGTGCGTCGGAAGATGCTTGGCGTAGAGACGCGCCTTTTTCGCGGGATCCCGACCGGCGGGGCGGATGAAGAGGGGGCGGTCGTGCAGCTGCGGGAGCACACCCTTTGGTTTGAGGTGCGCGTCGAGCGAAGCCTGGGCCTGTGCGATAGATTCAAAGGCAATGTAGGCACCGCCCCTGCAACGGCCCTCGCCGTCCAGGATGAGGCGGACGATCTTAAGAGTACCGTAGGGGGCAAAGTGTTTGTGGAGGTCGTCGGGGGTGGTGTTGTACGGGAGATTCCTGAGGTCGAGGGCGGCGCTGGTGGCCTTGTATTTAAGGTCGTCGGCGTCTGGTGGAGAATGGCGAAGGTCATGGCGTGAGTTAGGGAACGTGAGCTGGGGAGCATCTGTAGCCTTTGCATTGCGAGGGTCGGAGCGGGTCAGCTCTGTGATACGGCCTAGGAGCGATCCTTCAGCGGGCTTGGTCTGCGCATCTCCGTCAGTCGCAGGTTTGCGTAAGCCATAACCGGATGCGAGTGCGCGGGAGGAGACAGCGAGCAGACGATGTCCGGCACTGCGTACGACGACGGCGCGGAGAGAGAACATACCACCAACGAGCCGTGACAATACCTGGCAAAGCGGTCTGTGACCCAACGTGACGGGCGTGTGTCCGCCGTCACACGCGCTGCCTCTCATGTCGTTTGACGGCGATGACAGCGACGACGGCGAGGATTTGCTTTTGAATCTCGCGCGTTAATATACAGGACTCTGGTATCTCATCGCTGAATTTTTTCCCTTGCGAGCTGACGGTTTGTTATTGCAGAGCTGCCTACGACCCCGTCGGCCAACGATAGCCATTTCTTCATCTATGGCCGCCCTCGAGCACCAATGACAAGGGTCGAATCTCTTCGGCAAGTATCATTTTTAGTTGGCTATGTCGGCGACTTATTTATTGAAATTGCGACAGACATTGCGCTCCCGTCTCTGCTGTTTCCCCGTCGGGAATCTACCATCCAAGAGAGGCCCCCGTATACGACGCAGAACCGACGAGCTGCATTGACTACTATTATGCGACTCGTGCAGTTTGCTGAGAGGCCAACGCACTCTGCCATGCTCCCATATTTTTGCGGTCTTACGCAGGACATTGCGCCGTCGTCTTTCGCAGAGGAACATCTTAGGATACCCAGCTGCTGCAAAGGTGACTCCAGCTCGAGATGTAGATCCTCTGGATGACACCATGGATAGCGCAGAGGAAGCAGTCGGTAGCCGCTGACGATGCGACAGCCGACGTAATCTAAGAAGAGGCTGCAGGTACTGTGAATCGGGCTGTATATCAGTCGATGCGACCGGGACGGACGACATGCGAAATGAAATCGATGTCCGCATCAAGGAACTCGCCACGCACGACGTAAGGTCGCCCCTTGTACGTATGCACCAGCTGGATGTCAGGTGAGTGACAAGTATTGCCCAATGTCTGTGCTTGTTGACGGACGAGGTCAGAGAAGGACTTACCGGGAGAATGCAGAGTACAGTCCAGCAAAGAACTTGGATGTAGCCACGACACACTCACCACTAGGCGTTCGTTGTCGTTGTTGGCTTCCATCGTTTTCTCGGGCGAACGCAAGGATTCCTGCGATGCGGAATACTCTTGGATGATCGTAGCTCGGTCCGTAAGCGAACTTGTACGTGATGCTCCTCGTATCATTGTGAGCCCATTAACTCTTCATTTTATGTACAGGCAGCTTTTCGGCCGTGAATTTCGGGTCATGAAGGTGAGTAGAGACTGGAAGGAGAGGAGCACAATCCCACACATCATGTATCTTATCGATACAGCCAACATGGCCGCCTGGCGAAATGGCATCGCGTCTGACTACGACTTGTGGCTGTAATCAGGAGATTGCAGGTTCGACCCCTGCGGTGGTCATGTAGCCGATTTCTTCCATCGTCTCTTTTTTTGTTTCCTATTTCCTTAGTAGTAGCACGGACAACCGTAACTTGTAGGCTGTATGGTGTAGTTGGCTACCAGTAGCAGGCCCCAAACTTCAATATAATCTCTTTAAGAGTAGTCTAAATAGTAAAGTATAAGAGTAAAGTATAGTCAGAGTGATGAGAAGGATCCGGAGTGTAGTCTCTCCAACTCTCGCCCACATCCCACGCAATGTATTTGCACATGCGCGAGGGCGCAATACTTTGGCCGATTTAAACTTCAAGAGCACTAAATAGATGCCTTTGAGCTGGACGGTGAAAAGAGACAAGAGCGAAGATACCGAATGCGAAGCTCCAACTCTACTAGAAACAGAGCGAGAAAACCGACGGAGTGGAGGTAGAAGCCATTTGATATGACTCGCGTTCAGCAACATTGCGCGGTGTCCATTTGATACAGTCAATCATCGTACACAGACAATCATGGATCTACAAGGCGTATACTACGACTCGAATCTAGCTTTCCGGCCGCAAACAATCATGTCAAAAGAGAACGACGAGACTTGAGAAGGTTCACACAAGGCCTGGGAAACATTGACGGAAGGCGTACGTCGTAGTCGAGTGTAGTCCGGTGCACGCGCACGGGTTTGATGGAAAGGCGCAACTCCTGTTCACCGTCGTCTCTTGTTCCGGCGGCACATAGAGGTCCCTTCTCGAGGGAGAGGTGCTCCGGCGTGTCGGTACCGATGCCAAAATCTTCAGCGAGTGCGGCGGCATCCTGCGGCGAGAGTACATCGGGTTCCAGGGACCAGAAGCTGCGAATTCATGTCGAGGGTGACGGCAAGAGTAGGAAGTCGAGAACGAGAGCGTAAGCACCGTATATGCGGGCGCGGTCCGGTTACAGCACGTAGCGAGGGGTTGCTCAAGATCAAATCAAGGTCATCGAGCCAAAGGCAGCGAAAACGGCGGGTGATGTCGAGTATCTAAGATAGAGACTGGATACGAGGAACCCAAGGAACGACGGGACGACGGAAAAGGCGATAGGAGGGGATCCGGACTGGGATGCTGTATGCAAAAGGCAGCAAAGCGGAGGACGATGGAGGGGAAAAGACAGATTAAAACACACGATGAGAGAAGGCGACACACTTGTTGAAGATCTTCATTCGGCGGACCCACTCGGCACGCCATTTGACCCAGTCCGTATCGAGCTGCGCGAGGTCGTCCTCTGAGACAAGGCTCGAGCCAGACCGTAGAGGCTCGAGATGGGCGACGGCGCATTGTATCTGCAGCGAAGAACGTTATCAAATAAGTATTAACGTTGTAAAAGCGCGATGAACGCACCATGGCAGCCGTATCTTCCAACTGTGTCAACAGCTCTGCGTCCGTCGGCGTCGCTTTCAACTTCGCGAGGTCTATATATGCAATCGGAAGTGAGTCAACGAGGGTGTAAGAGCGTGCCTCATACCTGTAGAAGCGGTTCTGTCGTCCGCAGCGAGGAGCTTGTTGGAATCTTCGATACTCTTGTGCTCTTCTTCGAGTTGCTTTAGCTTCTCGGCGGGTACGTCCTCGAGATTCGCCTGATTGGCAGCGAAAGACGTCGTCTTGCCTGTAGGGAGCAAGGAAGTCGACATGGAGGTGATAGAATAAGCTCTGAGCACTTACCATACGTCTTTTGCGTAATCTCGCCTTTCTCAGCGAGGGCGACCAGGATCTTCTGGGTCGCAGCCTTCGGCACGGCGCCCTTGAGATTGGCGGCGACGTCGACTGTACCAAAGGGACGATTCATCTGCAAGAAATTGGCGCATATATGCATGTAAAAGCCGTAATAGAGATGGAATCGTACCATCTTGATTATTCGAGGATCTTGTCCTCGGCTGCAAAGACGTCAAGTCGTGTCGTGTACGGCGACGTGATACGCGAACGCACCTTCTTGCCCTTTGAGCACGGGGACCTTGGCGTCGGACGTCTTAGACTTTGCGGACATGTTCGAGTGTGGTGGTGGTGGTTGAGAGAGAAGAGAAGGGTGGCGAGAAGGGCGGCGCGGCCGTGGATAATCCGCGTAGACTCAACCATAGACGGGGGTTACAAGGCTCGGACACGTGATAATTCCCCATCTCCTGCGACTTCAAGAGCTCATCCACCAACCACCTCTTACACACTAGGTGGAGTTCGCTCACGCTCAGGTACGAATCACCGAACAATTTCTTTCACTTCGTGTTTGGCTGGAAACATGGTAGTAGATACGTATTACATATATAAAAGTAGTAAGCGCGAAGCCAAGAAAATATATCTATATGATCATGAAGCAAAGTCCAGAGAAAGAGAGCAAGGACAAAAAAGGGTAAGCAGACTGTCTGTGAACGGGGCGAGATTTACTACAAGGTAGCGTATACAGAACAACATTGGCCTTGATCTTCTATTCCATTCGTACATCGACTACACACACAGTGTGTCTGTAACGTGAAACTAGCAGCTTCTCGATTAAACTGAGATTTGCTAACGTCACCAGCCCTAAGACCGTTTGCTAACGCTTGCTTGGGCATCTAGTGATGCTTGATAGCTGAAAGACATGTCGAACACAACTTACAGATGAGCGCCGTATCATCTATCCCTTCAGGGCATGGCACATGACTCTCAATATGACCGATGGGATTGTCGAACGCGGTTCGCGGCAGACGTGTCGCACGAGGGTTGATGAGACAGAGAAGACGTTTGCAGTCCAACCTAACGTCTGTCATATCAGCAACACGGCTTAG